AGGAAGCTCTGGGGGTGTTGCCTTAAGAGCCCAGAAGTGAGGGTGGCAATCCCATGACCCCCCACAACAGCTCTGTGACCCCTCCACAACCTCTCCTTTGGATCGGGGCCCCCTCAGTTACAACACCGTGAAATTTCAGATGTAAACCTCTGAAAACATGGAAATGACTAATTTTCAAATCCTATGGCTGTGAAATTGACCAGAATGGACTGTGAATTTGGAAAGGCCCTAGTCATGATAGTTATTTATTCTAATTCTTTAAATTGCATTTCACTCCTTTAAGTTGTGTATCAGAAATATTAATATAGTCTGTTAGAAGTTTAAATTGGAATACTATTATCCTTTCAAATAAGACCCCCATAAAGATCAGTAAATACAATGCACTCCAAAATACAAATTGAAAAATAAAGTTATTAGTTAATATGTAGGTAATCTACATCAACCCCCACTTCAAGGCTTACATTAACCAGAGAAAGAAAACAAGGTGATTATGCAAATATAAAATTTCAAATAAAGTAGTTACTAACTGTATTTGCGGGAGATTGCAATAGTTGCCAGAGACCCTCGTGTAGTTATTGTTGCTGACAGAGCTACTGAGATAGATCTCTATTTACCAAATAGGGTGAGACTTTTCATACTTCATAGTACTAAAAGATTTGGCCAAAGCCAATTATTTTCATCCAAGCACCTACAGTGCCACGGCAAATACATACCACGTACAGCAAAAAATATCGGACAACTTTATGCTAGCCAGAATTACAGCGTTGAGATTCACTGTTTATCATGAAAAATTAAGAGGTGGTCAGCTAAAAGATGCCAGAAAGATTGCTCTAGCTTCAGACTATTCTTAGTAAAGACTGTTTCAAGTATTCAATAGTAGCATTAAATATAACAGATCCAATGTTGTAATCAGATTGTTTTTGATTGCAGAATGATTGGAAACTGAGGCTTCATCTGATAAGTAAAACATACCTACAGTGTTACTTTTTTTAATAGTAAAATCTTGGCAAAGTAACAAATTAGTTTTGCTCATACCTCTCCAGAAACAAGGAGTACCTTGCATCAGCACAAGTAAGGTCTCAAATGCATAACTTAGAAAGCCTGCCAAAGGAAAAAGATTACTCAAGTCATAGTGAATACTGCGGGATTAAGGTTCCAATCATGTAATTGCCACAAGGCAAAGCAGTCTACCTGTGCATTGCTGATAGCAGGACTAGCGCCCAACTGTGTAATGAAGCACACTTACCATCTTTCTTAGTTTCCTTTTTCATTTAACATACAGCAAGTTTATTTTAAATTTACTCGGTTATACCAAAATAACCCAACCCAAGTTAAAATCTTAAGGAGCAGTTACAACATTCGTGTAGTACATTTTCAAAATATGCATTTGCATCTGTAACCTTTTACTAGAATTTGCTAAATTAAATCCACTATCTGAAATAATCAGCTCCAAAAATATACATTTGATTATGCCAAACGAGTAACTCAAGCTACAGTTTTCCAAAACACCTTACACGTAATACAGCAGAACCAAACTTGCACAATTTCAATTATTCAAACTGATTTTCCGCCCAGCACATTGACTCACTGGCAGACACTACTGAATTGTCCTCAGCTGAAAAACAGAACCCATCTCTGCTTCCCCTTACGCATGCCCAAAAAAAACAAAACAAAAAAAAAAAAAAAACCTCCATGCACTACAGTGGATGGGACTACTCAATAGTACCTCCATCTTGGAGCAAATTTAAGTGAATGAGAAAGGTAGCTGCTTTAGTTATAGGAGGCTTATGTCCAATGGGTTTGTGTACAGACTCCAGTTTTGTCATCTTAGCCCTTTTAATAAACTTCATGGGTGAAATCCTGGCTCCTAGAAGTGGAAAAAACTTCCACCGACTTCAGTGGGGCCAACTTTTCACCCCATAAGGTTCAAAACCAGAACATATTCTCATTAAAACAAGGTGACTCATTCCTGGAAATAGAAGATTATTTGTTTCAGGGTGGCTTTCCACGATTCCTTATGCTTACTTTGTATTTAAACTAGGTGTGTTTAGAAAAAGTTTAATTCTTCATAGCTTTTCTCCCCACTTGCTCCTGCAGTAAAGCCCATAATAATGAGTATTATGAAAAGGATTATGACAATAAACTGAAGTCATATACTACTATAGCTTCAATATAGGACCAAGCAAGAGAAAAAGCTGAGACGAAGATGGACATAAAACAGAAAAGTTCATACAAATACTGACAGAGTTCATTTCTTTGCCACCTTTGCTTCAGTATGAATGCCGTTCCTTATCCATCCTATCAGTACTTGATTAACTTAAAAGATAACTGCAGTGATTTAGCTTTATTAATGTACTAATATTTCACTAAGAATGTATTGAAGACTTTTCCAAATGTTTAGAAATACCCACCGTTTTAGTAATTCCATTTAGTGATAAACCATTATCCCTTCATTGAGACTGTCATATTTATAATACACTATTGTACTGCCCAGCATAATGCTAAGCCTTGTAAAACAGATTGAAATGATAAAAATATAGGTATGGTTCCATTAAAAAGTATTAAAATCAAATGATTTCAACATTATTTTGAGTTCAAATTTTATATTCCAAAAAGTTACTTTATCATCTGATTTGACCCTACTCATTCAATTAACCAATATGACTTGTGAACAACAGACTACACGAGCAAATTTTCAAGAGCACCTACGTGAAACAGTGGTATTTAGGCACTTAGAATTTTACTCCTTATAACTTTGCAACTGCTTGAGTTTCATTGGTTTCTAATAGATCTTGACATTTCTCAATATGATCTGCCTAATGAGACAACCATGATAATGGTTTCTATTTGACTGTTTTCATTATCTGTATTCTATTTCAGACATTTACTCTTTGTAATTATCTGCATTTATTACATTACATTTTTCTTTACAGTATCTTACATTTTTCAGAGGCAAATAATCCTACTTTAATACAGGTACAATCTCCTTTAAAAATTAGCAATACTGCACTCAGGGAATAAGTAGTCCATTCTTTTAGAATAAAAGTCCTGTTTCAAGGATTGGCTGGCACATAGGCAGGGGGTACATCTCCACTCCACTTGGGAGTGTGCTTCCCAGCTCAGGTAGACAGACCATGTCAGCTCTGCTCGAGCTGCATGGAAAAAAACATCAGTGTAGCTGAAGGCAGCACAGGTGGTAGCTTGGGCTAGCCAAACGTGTATGAATCCAGGATGTCCAGTGGGTTAGTACTCCGGTGGTTAGCCCGAGCTGCCACCCAAGCTACTCTTGGCTACACCACTGTTTAGCACGCTAGCTCAAGTGTAACTAGCGTACGTCTGTCGACCCGAGCAGGGAAGGACACTCCCAGCTGCAAAGTAGACATACCCAAAAAAGCCCAAGCTTTTGGGTAGCATTGATAGCACTTGGCTCCAGAATAATAGTAAAAATCTCTGCCTGATAGTTATTATACTATAATATCACCACCACTTGTCAGAGGATGAGGAAATCCTGTCTGAATGGGGCCAAACATGCAATATTTGTATGCCTTAACCTGAACTGTTAAACAAAAACAGTATGAAATTGAAGGAGACCTATAAGGCTGGCAGAGGATTGGTACATCTTCCAGAGCAACGGCCACTGCACGGCTTCAGAAAATTCAGGACATGCTTCCCTCAGTGACCAATTAGCTCTGGCAGGTAGGCTGAAGAAGGCTTTATGCCATGGAAATTCACCCCCCTGCATCTTTTTGGGTGGACAGTACCCATGGGGGCACTATCCAAGGAAGTTGCTATGCTCAGAAGAGTGCAGGAATTAGAATCATGGCTGACTCCTGCCTAGACAGTGGTTGGGGAGAAAGCACTTTGTACCCTTTCCTTATTGAACCTTGAAAGGGCAGCCAACATCTAGTTGTAAAAATAAGCAAATAGGAGAGGGTCATTTTATGCCTGTGACATCAGAGAAACACTAAGAAACAGAAGGAAGGATACAGCAAGGGAGACAGATGAGAGGGAAATGCCATCAGTCTCACTAAGTGCCATTCTGGTAAGCTAAAGTGTCCTGGTCCTCTAAACTTATCTACTGTGCAAGCTCAAAAACCAGGAATAATATAAATAATTATATATTAATGCATATAAATGTATAAATATACTTTACCTTGCATCTTCATATTTGTAACAAATGCTTATCCCAATAGCCAGGTTAATTAAAGAAATTATTTTCAAAATTGTGCTCATGCAATAGAGACAATATATACTTAGACTTTTAAGAAATTCCTGAATTAAGACATAGGAATAAGCATTTATTATTAGTTTGGAGATGTAAGATAAGAATGTGAATATATGAGCAGGAAATAAAAAACCAACACTGATGAGAAACACTTGTTCACCACACATACCAAACTGCATACCAGAAATCAATTTCCATGATATTTGTTCTATTCTTCTCCCTCAAAGTTCATCAGTGGAAGTATTATTAGTTTTTGATAATTCACATTCTTCACTGAAGTGGCAGTTTTGAAGGATGTCCTTATAATGGTTCTTCAGATCCGTGTACAGAGAGACAGTTTCCTCCGAGTGAGGAAATGGCAGCAGCTTTTCATTCAACAGTATCTGTACTTGGTACTCCTCCTCAGGGGTCTTAGCTTGGTCACAGTGATAAAGCACAAATATCAGGTTTGAGGCATAAGGCACAATGCGACCACTACGAAACTTCCGATGCATTTGTTTTTTGTAATTGTTAGCAGCAAGGGGCTCCTCATCCTTGAAGAAACCCATTAGAGCAAGCAGTGGCTGAAGGGTCTCTGCATGTCCAAATTGCAGGATTACAGGTGAAGAAATGGGCATGGAACTAGAAAACATAAAAGTGAAGAATAAGCATCTGTGTTTAAAAGCAAAACACTAGTGTACCGTACAGTTGTTAGCAAAGAGTAGATTATTTTAAACATTTGTTTTACACTGGCGTTTACTAAAAACACGTTTGGAATCAAAGGTGTCCAACTATCTGAAAACCACTTTTATTTAAAAAAAAAAAAACATTTTAAATGTATTTTGTAACAAAACTAATTGTGCTTTTAAAAAAATTAGCTGTATTTTACCTATTATAGTACTATTACTATCAATTAATTGCTAAGTAGTAACCCAAAGTCTTAGTACAAAAACAAAATGACAACGTATTTGGCATTACTGAAATATTCAGATGACTGAAATATTAGTATAGATGGGTATAGCCTGTTCAGAAAGGACAGGCACAGAAAAAAGAGAGGAGGGTTGCATTACATACTAAGACACTTGCTCGGATGTCTGGTGAAAAGCAAACCTGTTGAAAAGCTCTTGGTGAAGATAAAGGGGAAAAAAAACCAGGGACAATGTCATGGTAGGGATTTACTATAAGGCCACCAAATCAGGAGGAAGAAGTGGATCAAGCATTTTTAGAATAAACAGAAGTATCCAAAGCACAGGACCTAGTGATAATGGAGGACATTAGCTGCCCAAATATTTGTTGAAAAAAAAATAAATATATGGCAGGACACAGATTGCCCAACAAGTTTTTAGAATGTACTGCAGACAGCATTTTTGTTTCAGAAGGTAGAGGAAGTAAATAGGGGCTGGTTATTTTAGATTTTATTCTGACAAATAGGGGGAACTGGTTGAGAATCTGAAGGTGGAAAGCAACTTGCGTTAAAGTGACCACACAAAAAAAAGAGTTCATGATTCTGAGGAAAGAGTGAGAGAAAATCAGGGAATTGGTAGGCATAGTCGCATGGGACAGAAATCTATGGAAAAAGGAGTCCAAGAGAGGTGGCAGTTTCTAAGAGATACACAACAATAAATGCACAACAGCATATTGTCCCAAGGTGGAGGAAAGATAATAAGAACAGTAAGAACAATGACTACATCAGGTGCTTTTTAATAACTTGAAAGTCAAAGCAATTGTACAAACGGGAAACACGGACAAGAACATACAAGGGAAAGTAAAAAATAATAGCACAAACATGTAGGGACAAAATCAGGAAGGCAAAACTGTAACTGAATTACAATTAACTAGGAACATAAAAGATAAAACGAAAGTCCATTACCTAACGGGAAAGGAAAGCAAACAACAGATGACAGAGAAACCGAAGTGTTTAATGCCTATTTCACTTTATTCTTCACTAAAAAGGTTAATTATGACCACATGTGAAACACAATTAATATTGACAAAGGGGAAAAATCTTGGGTCAAAACAGGTTAAAGAGTACTTGGATAAATTAGATGTATTCAAGTTGGCAGAGACAGATGAAGTACACCCTACAGTACTTAAAGGAACTAGTCAAAGTAATCGCTGAATCTTTAGCGATTATGTTTGAAAACTCATGGAGGATGACTGAGGTCTTAGAATACTAGTGAGGGGCAAACAGTACCCATCTTTACAAAGGGGAACAGAGGACCCAGGGGATTATAGGCCAGTTGGTCTAACTTTGATGCCCAGAAAGATACTGGTACAAATTATTAAACAATCCATTTGTTCAAAACCTAGTGGATACGGTGATATGTAATAGCCAATATGGGTATGTCAGGAACAAACCGTGTCAAAGCAACCTAGTTTCCTTCTTTGATAGGGTAACCAGCCTAGTGGCTAAGGAGGAAGCAGTAAACATGATAAATCTTGATTTTAGTAAGGCTTTTGACACAATCCCACATGACATTCTCAGAAGCAAACTAGGGAAATACGCTCTAGATTAAATTACTATCAAGTGGGTGCATAACTGGTTGAAAGACAGTTCTTAAAAAGAGTAGTTATCAGTGGTTCGATGACACACTAGGACGACATTACTAGTGGGGCCTCAGAGGGTGGGCCCAGTACTATTCAATGTTTTCATTAATGACTCGGATGAAAGAGTAGAGAGTATGCTTATAAAATCTGCAGATAACACCTAGCTAGGAGGGGATGCAAGCACTTCGGAAGACAGGATTAGAATTCAAAATGACCTTCACAAATTGGAAAATTGGTCTAAAAATCAACAAAATGAAATTCAATAAAGACACGTGCAAAGTACTATACTTAGGAAGGAAAAATACAATGCACAAATACAAAACAGAGAAGACCTGGCCAGGCAGCTGTACTGCAGAAAAGGATCTGGGGTTATAGTGGATCACAAATTGAATATGAGGGGGGTGTAGTGGGGGGAAAAAAAAAAAACAATATACATCCATAATATCAGATTCTGTGATCGTGTATCATGCTAAAAAAAGGGGAATTATGTTTCGCTCACTGCAGCCATTCACAACTACTACTACCAAGGAAACATTTAGTTTTCTTGCAGATGCTACTGCCTTATTCTATCTCTACTTTCATTATGCAGAGACATCATGCACATTTTCTAACTGAAGGCTGGATTGTGACCAGAGGTGGGAAGAAATTCAAAAAAGGATGCATGGAACTTTTCCACCTTTGCACATCTGTAAAGGTTCTTAGCACATCTGTAAAGGAGTCAGGCATAGTCATAATGAGGAGCATAGGTACTGCTCCGCGATAAAACTCCTGAGGACACTAGATAGCCAAAAAGAACGCACCATCTCAAGAGTAGGAAAATAAGAACCAACCATAAAAGGAGCTTAAAAAAAAAATCTAGATGGAAGGAAGATTGGCAATGTCCACTTTACAATTGCATCTGCCAGTCTCTCCCAGACTTACAGGACCAGCAGCTAGAGGAGGATGCTAGAAAAGACTCCTAAAAACAAAAAAGTGAACCTAAGAAGTGAGAGAAGGTACTATAGCTTTTTCCAAGGGCCATGAATGTAGGTGGAAGACGGCCACACTGATATGAAATTGGAGAACGTCCAGCACCAGTGAGTTAATTCAAGTCCTCCCAAAAAAATGGAACGAAGAATTCACAGCAACTTATGCCAAAGTTTGCTACTTATTTTATTTTGTCATTAAAAAAAAAAAAAATTAGATACTTCTCCAGTTAGTTCCTTTTTGAGGTATGAGAATTCCGTTACTACAAATGGTAAAGGCAGGACATACAACCTCAAGTGCTGTATAGGGCTAATTTATATAACTTCTATAGTGATGTGCACCTATATACATTCTTGAAAGTAGATCATTAGGGAGTCAATTTCACCACTATGAAGACTGCCACTATAATGACCAGACACTGCTGATTTCCTTAAAGGAGTTATTTATACGAGGCTGTATAAATATATGTACTATAAATGTAAATTAACTTTGTTTAAGCAAATCTAACCATGGTTCAGTACTATACAAAGCAATATCTATATACCTTATGATCAATAGTTTAATAAAGCTAGAACCAAAAATGTTATTAACAATTCTTTCTATGCACTGTCTAGCAGCATGAGCACAGAATTCAGTGCATGAGACAACTGGAATCTTGGCAGACTTCTGGGGTCGTGGGTTTAACCTCTGCAGAAGTTTCTCCATCTGTAAAATGGTAATAATTCCTACTCTATATACTACCTCTAATAAGCAGTAAGGTACACATATGCTGAATGGGAAAATTGTGTCCTAAGTGCCAAAAATCACTTCCAGCTACACAGATAGACAGCAGCTCAGGAAAAATGCTGTCTTCTACCACATGGGTTGAAACTTTGTTCCCTAGAAGTTGTGGGTAAGCTCTCCCCCTTTGTCAGGGGCAGCAGTCCTCCTCCACAGATCATCTCCTTATTGTCAAGAAAGACAAAGTCCTCCTATTGACACCATCTGCAGAGTTTTCCATTGACCTCCAGGATGTATCCGTCCTTACCTGGGCCTTTACCCTCAATTGGAAGGACTGATGAGACCACCACCTGCGTACCTGATTCCTTAACCCTCACTCCCAGGTCCTTGCAGTCACTACTGGTCTGATCAGTCAGACCTGACAGTATCATTGGTGCCCACATGGCATGAGTAACATGGGGTAGTGGTCAGAAGGCCAGGCAAGCCTCAGCAACCTTTCCATGATGCCTCAGATTTGGGCTCCAGGCAGAAACCACATATTCTGGGATATCAGGTTGGCAGATGGATGCCTTCATCTCCCTCAGAAGGGAATCTCGACCATCACCACCTTTCTTCCGAGTGCCATTTATATAATTGTTAGATAATGGTGTGCACCTACACAGATAATTGCATTTGAAAGCATCATAGGGATGGGAAATTCACCCCCATGCAAACTGCCAATAAAATGCCTATGTACTCCTGAACTCCTCAAAATAAAGGACCAGGAGGGTATTCTTCATCCTCACAAATCCAACGATTTGCATCTGATCATGTGTAAATGAAGTCCAGTAAATTATAAATACCTGCATTTTTTGTTGCAGCATCATGATCTTAGCTGCTACAAACTGCTTTGTGTGGGTGAACCCCTGTACCTCTATACAGCCCCAATGACTTTAATGGGGCATCATACTGGTATAAGTTCACAAGCACAAAGCTTGGTTTGAGCTATACAGATTTACTGCAGAACTAAAATGAAAGTGCCCAGAAACAAGGCTAAAAAGACAGTTAGAAATAGTGGAGCACAATCATGAAGTTTATTCAACCCTGAAAAGATTTAGAAGGGACTTAACTGAAGTACTGAAGATGATTAAACATGGATAACAAAATCTTAGACAAGAGAGATTGAAAAGGCCTATTAGATCATCTAAACCATCCCCATCCAACACAGGATCATTCCCTAATATACATTTCCTAGTGCTATATCTAGTTGAGTTTTAGATGTGCCAAAAAAATGGGCTTCTACTACCAGAAGTTTGTTCAGATATTCAGTTTAGCTGTCCCATTTTAATTATTTTTAATATCCCCTGTATTACCCTGAACAATTCTTCCTTCTTTGTATTTAACCTTTTAAATACTAAGTTTTTAGCATC